ACCTGATTGTTGTCTGTAAGTGTACTGAATGATCTTAGTGAGGTCGATATGGAAAGGAAGTTTCCTCTTGTTACTGAGTTCAGAATTAACAGACACTGTTTTAATATGAACGGAGATGAAGGGAATTATTTTTTAGAGGTTTGTGTAACTTTGAAACTCACTCTGCTTCAGAAGGCAGTGGAGGTGGTGTCATTGCATATTTTTAAGGCAGAGGGGGATTCTTGTTCAGCAGGGGAATCGAAGGTTCTCGGGGTTAGTAGGGAATGTGGAATTTGAGAAAGAAACAGATCAGCCTTGATCTCTGAGTTGCAGAGCAGACTGAAGGGCCATATGGCCTACATCTGCTCCAAATTTGTTTGAGTCTATGACTCTATATGGACCATCGTCCTTGATCTCCCAACTCTCAGTATAGTCATCAGTTGTTCTTGTCTTCTATAATTGCTTAATGATGGGATTCAATGCATGGAGATCATATTAATTAATTTCTGACATTTTTTGGGTTGTATACAGTGACTTGCTTTCTGGTTCTGGGGTTAAGACACGAATAAAAAGTTGGCAAAGATGATCCCACAAAAACCAGGAACAGGAGCTAGCCATTCGGCCTCTCGAGCCTGTTCCATTTAAGTAAGATCATATCAGGATCTTTTGTGCTTCAATAACATTACATCTCTTTTTTATTTTCTAAACTCCAAAAGGTACAGGCTTAACCTATCCTCAAGATAGCTCCTTGATTCCTGGAAATGGTTAAGTGAAGGTTCTCTGAAATGCTTCTATAAAACATTTCTATAAAATTCTTTTATCTCCTTCCTGAACTTATTGGTCACCTCAGTATTCCCTGGGTATGAATGCAAAGCATTATTCCAAATTTCAGCCTTGATTTAGTTGGTAGCATCTTTGCTTCTGAGTTACAATTGGCAGATTCAAACACCATTCAAAGATCCATGATGACCCTGCAATGCAGTTATGAGGGGATTATCCACATTGTCATGGCCAACATTTATCCCAATCAACATCACACCTACTAACAGATTTATCAGTTAATACCATATCACTGGTGCAGGAGTTTGTTGGCTGCTGTGTCTCCTGCATTACAGCAGTGAATAAATACCAAAAGGTGGTGCGTTAATTGTTAAGCACTTTGCATGTTTTGGTGAAAGGTGCTTTATAAATGCAAGTTTTTTTTAAAAAAAATGTCTAATCTTCAAAAAATGTTTCAGTGGGAAACATTTGCTTTTAAGTGCTGACATTTAAAGAAATTTTTTGAATGAAACGCAGAACGGACTTTCTGTATAAATGTTACAAGCCAAGTCTTGGATTGAAATTAAAAACTTTCAATAGATGACCAACTGACATTGTACCATGCTCTTTTCTTTTTAAACTTAGATCTCCGATCCTACATCTTGACCGCCAGATGGCCATTTTACTTTCTTTTCTAATAAACCTGTTCATAAATATTCTTGTGTACCTCTGGAGCAGGTGGGAGTTGAACCCAGGGTTTCTGCTCCAAAGGCAGGGACACCTACCATAGTGCCACAAGAGCCCTACAATAGCCTTATTGTAGTTCCCTGGTTGATAGCTCAAATATAGTTGAACTAGATTGGAACACTGATACGCTGAATCCAAATTAAGGAGGAGTAGGCCTTTCTGTCTGTTGAACCTGTTCCACTGTTAAATTAGATCATGGCTTATCTGTCTTAATGCAACTTTCCCACGTGATCGTCATATGTTTTAGTGTAATCAATATCCTGAAATATAGCAATTTCTGTTGTGTCTGTGCTTAGTGATAGAACTTTCATAGCTTTCTGGTAAAGAATTCCAAAGGTTCACCCCTTTCTGAAGAAATTCCTGTTTAAATCCGTCTCGGAGTAAGGGGTAGGTAGTTTAAAATTCTGTCCCCTGGTTCTTCGACACAAACTGTCTTTAACTTATGAACCCAGCTCTATAATATGAGTCCTGGCTTCAAATCTCTTAACTTCCTGACTCGCCCTCCTACACTGACTAATTAACTTCCTCTCTTAATTGGTCCTAATCATTCACTTCCCATCCTTGCCACATGAAGTTGGTGGGGACAAGTCGGTGAGTTTTATTTTCTCCTCTTTCCTTCCAATGATTGCCTCTTGACATTAAAACCTTATTTAACGACTTGCAGCATAACTTCCCGAGCTGCTTTTTCCAAAGTGATTAAAATGAACGTTTTGTACTTTATCCTTTTTTTTTTTTGTTTTGATTACTGTCCAAATCTTTGGAGACTTCTGTATTTTTCTTCTGAGCAAGGATGTGAGCTTTAGATGTACGTGGCTGATGAAGCCAGTTACAGAGATCTGTGCTGAACATCTGTTGGAACCAAACCAAATTCATCTTTGAATTTATGTTGCATCTCTCATAACTTTTGAGATGCTCCAAGTGTTGTGTTACATCTCACAGTTTGGTGTACCTTTTAAAAGATGTGTTCATGATTCCATCACTTCATGAAAGTTTGTGACCTGAGGCTATAAAGATTTCATATTGCATCTTACCCAGGAGTGAGTTGAATCATGACACCAAGATACTTCCAGTAGACTATCAATGCTTTCTGTTGTAATCTAATGTTTGAGTATAATAGCTATAATAAAAGTCTGTTGGATTCTTTAATACCATTATAACAAATACAGTTTCCTGTGTTAAGAAGGATAACCTGAGTGATACTTCAGGTAAAATAACTGCTGACTAACCTTTGTTCTTTGAAATGTTGCTGTTGCTGGAATTTGGGAAATGTGATAGCCAATTTGCAAACTCCCACAAACAGCAATGAGCTGATGACCATGTAACCTATTGACATTGATCGAGGGATAAATATGGGATGTGCACAAGGACAAACTCTCCCTTGGGCGTCCTGGAAACAATGCCAAATAATTTTTTGTCTCGCCTGGAAGGCAGACATTTAACATCTCGTCCACAAGACTGCACCTCTGACAGTGCAGCCTTTCTTGGTGCTGTGCATTAATGCCAGCCCAGCTGATGGTTCTGGAGTACAACTTGAACCAATCTCCCTCTCCATCTGCATCACTGAGGAATTCTCCAGTAAGTCTCAAGCTCTACTCTCACTTTGTATGTCATAGAGTTATAGACATGTACACCATGGAAACAGACCCTCCGGTTCAACTCGTCCGTGCTGACCACATACCTGAAATTAATCCAGTCCCATTTGCTAGCATTTGGTCCATATCCCTCTAAACCTTTCCTATTCATGTACCCACCCGGATGCCTTTTAAATGTTGTAATAGTATCAGCCTCCACCACTTGCAACTCATTCCATACAACCACCGCCCTCCATGTGAAAGAGTTGCCCCTTAGGTCCCTTTTAAATCTTTCCCCTCTCACCTTAAACCTATTCCCTCTAGTTTTGGACTCCCCTACCGTGGGGAAAAAGACCTTGGTTCTTCACCCTAACTGTGCCCATCATGATTTTAGAAACCTCTATAAGGTCCCATAGAACACAACAACTTCCCTCAAATATTTTCTGGCCTTACTGAGCCACTTTCAGCTAGTAAATAGATGGTTTAATGCTGTCTTTCAGTGAGGCACCTCGCAGTCTTTCAGTATAGTTTACAAATTGTATAAACCAGCTCTCAATGAGCTCAGCAGCAGCTATTGCAGTTAAAGCACCGCAACCTCAAGTGAATAGTCATTGGTCCTTCAATGATGACCATTTAGGAAAAGAGCAGATGTTTCCTCTGTCACTTTAAAAGAAATGATTATCAACAAAATCTGCTTCAAGTGTTTGGCAGTCACTTTCTACGCACTCCCAACTAATGACATTCATTTCTGATCCGCTACGAGTAAGGTCCTGAGAGAGAAAAAAGGCATTAATATAACAGCAACTTGCATTTATGCAATATCTTTAATACAATAAACTGCACCTATCAACTGGGATGGACGTGTGTGTAGGGGGTCGTTAGCTTATTCGGCAGGAAGGCTGGTTTGTGATGCAGAGTGATACCTACAGTGTGGGTTCAATTCCTGCATCAGCTGAGGTTACCATGAAGGACTCTCCTTCTCAACCTTTTCCCTCACCTGACGCACGGTGACCCTCTGGTTAAACCATCACCGTGTCTCTCCCTCTTTAGTGAAGGAGCAGCCCTATGGTCTTTGGCAACTTTTACCTTTTACTTGTAGGTACATGAAAACCAGTTTAAGTTCAACCACTTTTGTGCTTGAAGCATAATTTGAAGATGTTTTCTTTAACCTGGTTTGTTCAGGTTTAGGATCCTTTCAAACAAGCTGAGGCCCCGAGAGAAGACCAGTAACTTTTTTTTTGTTTTTACTTTAGCCATGAATAAATAAGTAGCTTTGAACCCAGGAAAGGGCCTAATCTCTTCTCACTGTGCTGTGTTGTTTTATGTTTCAGGTTTTTTCAAAAAAAAATTAGAAATGTTTTTTTTTGAAACATTAGTGACTTGCACAGAGACCTTGGCCTCATATTTGTCACGTCTGAAGACTGCAGTATTATCAGCTGTTTACTCTGTCCTTCAGTTTAACATTTCCAGCTCCACAAAATGAGTCATGCTATATCCTGTTAGAATGTTTTCTTTCTTCAGAAGCGAGTCTGGACTGAATACAGGCCTTTATCTCTCATCTCAACGTGGTAATTCTGTAAATTGATTTGGAGGTACTGCTTGCTATGGCAACCTGTGTAGAACTGTGGATAATACTATGGGTTAGAATGAACAATCTTTTTAAAAAAATGCTCGCTTTTTTTGCTTTTGTAGAATGACTGACTGCATGCCCACAAAAAATGGGGTTCCACTAGTTGTTAGTTTGGTATTTTGACCAGAGGTGATTCCTGGCTTCCTTTCTATTTTGGGTTTGCAGCCTGGAAAAATGACTCCCAAACATTTGCAGGTGGTGGGGGGTGGGGGAGGTGTTTGCTTTAATTCCAAATTTGTAGCAAATACTGCGGAGAGATGAAGGATAGGAAGAGGACATTAGCTTCACTGTCCTATTGTTTGTTTTTTTTCCAGGTCTTCTCTCTCTGGGTCCAGTCCTCACCTGGAAGTCTTCCAATACTGACCAGGTAATTCAGTTCCTCCTTTTGTTTTCCCTTCTGGTATCTGTGAATTGATTCAGTGGTTTTGGTTGCTATGGCAATGGTCCATGTTGGACAATGAGTGAAATGGCTTTCTTGAAATACTCTGCAATGAGATGTTTTGCACTATGTAGAAAGGAAAACTTGCTGAAAGGAATTTCCTGAGACATCGGCTTTATTTGGCGTAATGACTACAATTTCAAATGACTGCAACTGCGAAAGTCTTTACTAATTTTCACAAAGTAACACTTGAATTTACATAGCACTCTTCACAGTTGTAAGGCCACTTTAAAACTCTATGGAGCCATTGAAATACTTTTTGAAGTGTAATCGATGTACTGTGGGAAATGCGACAGGTCATTTTGTACTCAGTACACTCTCACAGACAATAAACGAGGCTTTTTGTTCCCCTAATCATTTGTGAAATGAGTGTTTCTGGGTTGACCAGCGTTTATTGCCCATCCCTCTGGTAAGACCAGCTATTCAGTTTTTCTGTGGTGTTGTCTGAAGGATTAGTATTGAGCGGGACACCAGGACTAATATTCTTGCTTGTTTACTTATTTAATTAGTGCAAATGGGATCCTTTACATCCACTGGAGCAGGCAGATGGGGGCCTAACTTTGACAGCTGCTTTGGAAGGTGGCATTTCTGCCACTGCAGTACTGAGGAAGTGCTGCACTTTGGATGCTAGCTTTGGTTTTTGTGCTGGGATGGGATATTTAAATTTTTTGTTTAAAATCCAATTTATAAATAACAATCAATAAACACTGCCCACTATAACCAAAAATATAACAATGCAATGAAGGAAAACAAGGTGCGGACCTACGTCAATATGATGCTGGAGTGAGATTTGAACGTGGAACCCCGTGACATTTATAATGGGTGCTCATCGCTTGAAGACTCTCTTGGCCGTTCATTCACTTCTTGAGGTAGCAGTACCAATGCGTGCATTGAGTCTGCTAGGGTTTACACTTTCCATCTGGACTGTTATTTATATTTAATTTGGTTTTTGGATTGCTGATAATTAAAAATATTTGGTTGCTAATGACGCTCCTCAAACAAAACGTTTGCTGCTTTGTGGCACACATCAATGGTATTTATCAAAGCCTGTTTAAGATTATGCAAATGAGATGGCAGGAATGAGTTGCACTTGTATTTACCCTACAATGTAATGCAGCCTGCAGTGAATTCCAAGAACTGAGCTAGTTCACTTGATTTACTGGTCTATGAATTGTAAAGTGAACTTGTTGGAATGTTTATAACCTGCTCAATTAGCTGAGCCTTAAACTGAGGATTGAACCTTTTTAGAAGACTTCTAGTGTGTGGGCAATGCCAATAACACTGTGAGAACGTTGCAATTATTAATTTCTGGTTATGATCTATTAACTTATCTGCCCATAAGATCATGTTATTCTCTTGAAAATATCAGGAGATGTATTTTTCTTTCAGATTTGATTCATTCCTGCAAAACCTGCATTTAATTGAGTCGGTGCTACAAGAGGCACAGTGTCTCAGTGGTTGGCTATACTGTAGCACCAGTGAACCAGGTTCGATTCCACCCTTGGCAAATGTCTGTGTGGAGTTTGCTCATTCTCCCCTTGTCTGTGTGGGTTTCTTCTGGGTGGTCCAGTTCCCTCTCACAGTCTAAAGATGTGCGGGTCTGGTCGATGGGCAATTTAGTTTGGCCATAGCGTCCAGGGATGTGCAGGTTAGGTGGATTAGCCATGGGAAATGCAGGATTGCAGGGATAGCTTAGAAGGGTGGGTCTGGGTGGGATGCTGTTTGGAGGGTTGGTGTGGACTTGATGGGCCAAATAGCCTGCTTCCAAACTGTAGAGATTCTATGAAAAGGCGCAAGCAGTATTCCCATTGGATATTTTTCCAAAAAATATAACACCTCTTTGTGCTTTGTCTTTATACAAAAAGGTTTTGACATCATCTGGCACTGGGGAAATATGCTGTTTTTTGACTTATTTCTGCAAACCGGACAATTTTCATTTCTGAAGGACTTTTCTGTGCTTTATTCTGAGGTTCCAGCATGGTTGCTAGTTCAGTTCATTTGGGACCGAATTGTGAATTTCTTTTGGCGTTTGCTGTAATTTGATAATTACAGTGTATTAATTGGATGTTGTTACAGCTGATTATCCTGGAGCCATTCACAAAAACTAAATGTTCCGACTCTTGCATCCCTTGAGAAATTTTGCATTTTAATGTGCAGTGGACGATGCATCTAAGCTGGTGCTCAAGCCTTGCAATCCACTTTCTCTGGATACTGGATGGCGAATAACACTGGGGTTTCTTTTTTGAAAAAAAGCTGGCGATGGGGAAAATGATGTGGAGCTGCTCTCTTGACACATGGTACAGAACAATTGTGCTGCCATCGCTGTCAACCAGAAAGATGTTCGTCCAGTCCTTTGACCACCAAAGCTTATTCATGTACCCCTTTTAATGCTGATGTCTAATGTGGAAGGTGGGAAGAGGGGGCTGAGTAATATTGGTAAATGGGTTTTGATTTTATCATCTATCAAAGAAAGTAGAGGAAATCAAAAATGTGTATGATCAATAGAGCTCTATCAACCGACTGTACTCTGATAACAGAGTAGCACTGTATTTTGATAACTTCATTGTGCTGGTTGGATGTTATTCCACGTGCTTCGTCAGAGCCCATTCCCAGAATCTGTTCTGTCATTTGTTTTAATGTACAGTGAAAGGCATACTTGAGCTGATGGCAGAGTCATCCAATTTCAGTTTGTCTGGTACCACCTTCACTTTCTATCTGATGCCAATCTGGGGAGGGTCAGTTTGGGGAAACTGCATAAGGAGGAGATGGTGAGAAAGGAAGTAGGGATTCAGCAATTGATAAGACACGCTTGTATGAGTATTATGTTGCTAAGGTATCCTTTCAGTTTTGTTTCTTGTTGCAATTGAGTGACATTTCTGAATCAACGTTGAAACATTTACTTGGTCTTTTTCAATGGCTGTCTTCCAGTTATTTATTGATCATTCTTATATGAAATAGAAATTAGATTGGTTTTCCAGTTGTAATCATACCACCTGTCATTGAATCTAGCCCAGCTTGGGGTTTTAAATTGGGAACTGCCTTGGAATTGTCTCTCTCCTTTTATTTCAGATTTCCAACAACTGTAGTTTTATTAATAATCTAAGGTTTTTGTAAAAGAAAAACTTTTCATCTTGACTTCTGTAATAATTTTGCATGTCAAAAAGTTTTTGCTGTTCTGCTGTGAGAGCTGGCCTTGTTGGGTTTTTGTGATACTGCCCCATACTGAGAATACTGCTGGGACTAAAAGCGCAAGTTGTTCACGTGTTTTTTGTAAGTGTGAATGTCTGTTTTCCACTGAACTGATTGCAATACGAGTGAGTGTCGCACTGCCTATACTGTTTTTGGTTTTCTTTAACGTGGCACAGGAAGCTGCCTTTAGTGGTTTAAATTGGCAATAAAAAAAGTAACATTCATTGCACCTGATTTGTATGTACACACACTTAGCCCTGCATTCCTCATCTTGTTCCAGATCATTGACCAGCAGTCTATATATACTGACATCTCTTTTTTTTTGTCATGATGTGCATCTTCTATGCACTGGACGATATGCTGGCATAAGCCCCATTCAAATTCAGTGCAATAGTTGGTACATTTCTTTTACAATTCTTGAAAATCTCCTTTTCAAAACTCCTTTTCTTCTCAAAGCTCCTTATCTTCTCAAAACTCCTTTTCAAAGAGTCAATGACTCTTTTTCAGAACCGAAGTTCTGCATTCCTTTTCTGTTCCGAAGTAGGTTCTTGTTGCGCTCAAAACATTTAACACTGTTTGTTTGTTTCTCTGTCCACAAATGCTGCCAGGCCTTCTGAGTTTCTCCAACACTTTTCCTGCTTTTATTTCAGATCTCCAGCCTCCATAGTACTTTACTCTTACTCTTTCGCTCTCTGCTTTGGGGTCACTATCAATGAGAGGGAGTATTCATCTGTGGAACTTCTCATTCTCACCCTCCTGCCCAGCTGGGAGGAGTCAGCTCTGCGTATGACTTTCTGATCTTTGTGTTCTTTGGTTCGGTTTCAAACTCAGCATCCCCTCAATAATCAAGCCATTTAGGAAAGACAGATCGCCATATATAACCTTTAATATCCCTCCCATTTTAGAAATAATGTCTGGCTCTGTTTGCAGACTAGTTTTGATCCAACCGAACTATATTGTCTCCAGCTTCTACCATCTGCCCTATTTGCTATCCCTAACTTTGTCAATATCATTAAGTTATACCCAGTGTATGCCTTGCAGCCTGCTCTCTCATGTTGTCATGATTATAGAATAGGCTTCACGCCTGTTGGAGTTTGGATTTTCCCCAGTGCTTCTATTTTTGCAAATAGTAGTTTGAATAAGCAGTGCCTTTATCAACTGAAACTGGCACTTTAATTTTAAAAAAAATGCTGTCGTGCTCATGTATTTTAAAAACAATATATCTCTAACCATTGACTAACAATGACTTGCATTGTTCTATCACCCTTAAAGGAAAAATGTCAGAGCAATGAGTGCAAGCTAAAACTACCAGTATAAATTTTTTTCTAGATTTCTAGGAGGAAGATGCTGAAGTAGAGCAGTACTTAAAAACTATGAAGTATACGAATGATAATGTATGTGATTTGTGCAAAGGGCTCCGTCTCTCCATTATTTGAATTTTTTTAGATGGAACCATTGCCTTGGAGTGATAACCCGTCAGACTTTCACATGGAGATATTTAAAGTGAATGTGCCTCAGTTTCCCTGCGGAGGCATTTATTATTAAACTAAAACTGCAAGGCACAGTTGCAATTTTTCATAAAGATTCTTTTTACATTCCATTTTATTTTGAAGTGAGCAAACAGATACTTTCAGCCTGGGCAGACATTGTAGCTTTTATCTGTAAATGTTCCTTACTTTGCTGGATAAGGTTGGCATGAACAATTTGGGATTTCCTGTTTTGTGTTGCATTGACTTCGT